AAGTCCAGGTTTAAAAATAGATGGAATTGTTAAAAGACTAAACAAACCAGGAGTGGAAAGAATTCAGACTATTTTTTGACTCTGTGTAAGTACATAGTGTTCAATAATAATAGATGGTTGTCAGGGATTAAAGCCAAACGAGGAAGTGGCAGCAGAGAGAGTAATACAGCAGATGGTTTTATGTTTATTTATTTATTCAAGCCACATTATGTCATTTTATAGCCAATAAAATAGACTTTTTTGTGTGTTTATTGCATAGGCTCTGTCCTGGTTCAGTCCAGGCTTTTGGACTTGTTTTCATAGAAATGTAATAAAATAAAACATAAACATCTATCTGCATGGAGAAGTTGCGTACCTTTAAAAATGATTATAGATGTCTTATTATTAGCACACAGTTAACAATATTTAATTAAAATTTGAAATGGAAAAACATAAAATTATCAATACTGTCAGCTGGAAATAAGTTAGACTGAATATTTAATTGATTAAAAGTGCACTATGTAACGTTTCTGGTGTTCTTATTGTCAGCAGGCACGCCTCTCCAGAAATTTCACCAGCAATTTGGGCTTGGTGGCATCAGCTTCTTGTCTCCATGGAGATACTGTAAATACTTTTAATGCCATACCGTGTAGTATTCCAGGGAAAGCCGTAATAATTCCCAGGGAGACAAGCACGTGCTGGGCCGTGCTTTTTATTGCAAATTACAATATTTTTAGTGTGATTAAATAGTAATATTTTAAAATATGATATCTCAAATAAGGAGCTATAACCAATTGTTAAAAGCTACAGTGTGTACATTTCTGAAGGTGGCTCTTTACTTTTAGCCAAGCTGGCGTCACCTAGTGCCTCTGCTCAATTTCATTTCTCTCCAGCGACTACATCAGGAATCAGAATACACTAGACTAGTTTGTAAGAACCCCGGAACCCAGTTGTAGACTGCACAGTGGGGCCACTCAGCAAAGAGCTGAACCAACCCGAGTTGTGATAGTAGACTGCATACACTATCCTCCTTTGGTCTTCCTTTGTCAAATACAAACTTTGCATTTTTTATTGCACCTTTAATTTGCAAGTTCACCTCGCAGAAACGACAATGATCGTTGACAGACATGTTCACTCTCTGCTTTGTTTGATGTTGTGCCGGGAATTACTTGGACACCACTGAACGTTCCGGTGCATTACATACGTCACAACCAAATAGTAGCGACTGGTTAAATAAAAAAAGTACCCGCCTACTGTTGAGCGAGTGACGTGCCAGTGGCAAAAAACTGTTGTTGTGTCCTTACGCAAGAGACTTCACCCACTTTGCCTAGTATGAAAGTGGTGTGTGCGTGAGTGATGGTGGTTGGAGGAGCCGATGGGGCAGATTGGCAGCCTCGCTTCTGTCAGTCTGCCCCAGGGCAGCTGTGGCTACAGTAGTATCTTACCACCACTGAGTGTGGAGTGACTGAATAATGAACTGTAAAGCGCTTTGGGTATCTTGAAAGGCGCTATATAAATGCAATCAATCAAACAAATCAAAAAAGTACCCGCCTACCGTTGAGCGAACGAATCCTTATGCTGGGAGGTCAGAGGGTTTCTACGAAGTGAAACCGGCTACCTTACTTGCGTGATTAAAGAGAAAAAGAAAATTAAAACCATATTTTGGAACATTCTCTATGGATATACAGTATGTTTATGCCATACTGGGAAAAATTATAGCCAAAAGAACACCATTTCCATGGAAGCAAGCAGAAGACCCTACCAAATAAGAGTCAGGTCTGTGGACATGCAAGCCCGCTCAGAGTACACACATGTCATTCTGTGTTTCAGAGTGGTATTAAAACAACCAATATGAAAAACATTTATTTATTTTAGTCTGTTTGTGGCTTTAACACTTTCAGATCAAAACTGGTCTAAACCTGGACACTTGGACTAGAACAGGTCTCGCCCAAATGCTCCTCAGTAGTCAGGTAGTTTAAGCTGCAGCCCATATGCCACAGTCTATATATTTTCTGAATGTCTGTCTCCGCTCTTCACCCGTGTGCACGTGTGAAAAAACCTTGAATACACTGGCTGGGCTGCAGCCTGAGTGAGTGACATGTGCTGTGGAGTCTCGTGGGGCTCGCCGTTGCCAGATACTGTGAAGGTTTGTCACCTGAGAAGCTGCCGGGTGACTTCACAACACAAGTGTAAAATAACCAACACGCTAACAGCCCGCGCAGACAGGAGCAGGCTTCACGTCAGGTGCACAGCCAGGTCCAGGTATACTGTAATGCTGTCAAATCTCACAGATCACAGATACAGCTCAACATTAATGGTCTTATATTATGCAAAATGGACTCTTGTGTGGTTTAAGCCATGTTACAATGCTCTTACCTCCTCAAAAACAGACCTGGAGTTGTGTTTTGTTTCATTCACACATAATTCAAATACATACAACATCGAATAATCCTTTGCAATCTGTATCATTCGTTCATTCGTTTTTTCAAAATAAAACCTAAAATAAGACAATGAAAAAAAAAACTATTTTCTTCATTATTTGTCTCCAAAACCAAAATGAACAAAAAAACAGATAACGATTCCGGGGCCGGTCCTGGTCTGGTCCTGGTCTGGTCCTGGTCTGGTCCCATCTCAGTCCCAGTCTCAGTCCGGGTCCTGGTTCCAGTCTGGTCCCAGTCTCAGTCCTGGTCTGGTCACGATCACAGTCTTGGTTTCAGTCCTGGTCTCCGTCCCAGTCTGGTCCCAGTGTGGTCCTGGTCTTAGTCCTGGTCACCCAACAGTCTGGTTTAGTTTTGGTTCAGTCCGGCATCACAGTTTAAGTCACGAAAACACAAAACAATTAAATTAAATACAAAATCGAAAACTGAAAAAAACAAATCATTAAAAAAAATATATATATTATTTTGGTTTTGGAGACAAATAATGAAGAAAATAGTTAGATTATTAGTCCGTCTACAACTCCAAAGCTCAAAATGCTCATGTCGTGACAGTTTTCAAGTTAACTCCTCTTAGCTCCTTTTACCTTTTGTTCAGTAGAGATTGCCAACTCCAAGGGTGAAATTATCTGAATGATTTTGGGGAAGGTGTATGGAGTTTAAAAAGACAGTGGAGCATCACATCACATCACATCACATGGAGTAAAGTGAATTTGAGAGCTCAGAACTCAGCCTAAATATGTAGGATTTATGTTTTAAACGTGTGTGAATGAAACAAAACACAACTCCAGGTCTGTTTGAGATGAGGAAACATTATAACATAGCTCAGAAAATAACATAATATAGGTGCTATAAACTTGATTTGAGGAGCAGATTTGAGGAGTTTAACATTATTCAAATGACATGTATTGACACTTTGCAGCTGATGTCATCCACCTTCCCTGGTGGCGTGAAGCTAACTATAGACACTGCTCTGTCAGAGGCTAGTTAGACTTCAATCTGAGGTTTATTTTAACACAATCTGCCCAGAAAGAGCTGACTTAGCTGGAACTACAACAGATGAGCTGATTTATGCTGTTACACAAGACCCTCTTAAATAACATTACAGTGACAAGCCAGCCTTAGTCAACAGTTTTTCAGTTAGTCTGTCTCACTGTTTTGTTGAAAACCAAACTCCTCAACAGGACCATGAATGTTTGTATTGATCCCAGGCCCCTGAAAATGTGTTGTTTCAATCCATTTTGTATTTTCAGACAATCTTAAAACGGATAAGAGTCAGGTTTGTAGTGATGCAACCCCGCTCAGACGCAGAGCACAGACACATGTCATTCTATGTTTTTCAAAAGAATAAACGCGGCCAATATGAAAAACATACATATATGGGCCTATTCACACTTTCAGATGAAAATTGGGACTAAGGCTGTGTTTATATGATGACAGAAGACACAAAATTGGCGTTGTGTCTTCACTTTTTATTCAGCATTTAGATGAGCATATTTGGGAGGAAATCTGCATGCTTGTGGTGACGCAAAAGTGTGTGGAATTCAATTGGATATGCATGTCAGGCGGCTCGGTGGTGACACTAGGTGGTGATGTATGTGACGTAAACGCGTACGCGACGTGAGCACATCTGACCAAAGTTTTGCATCTTGGTCAATGTCGACAGTGCGGTGGAGCATATTCAACTTTTCCACTCTGGAGGATGGTTTCAGATTTTTGCAATTTTAAGCCCCAAAAACACCATCATCATCTAAACAAAAGGCACTTCTGATCAAATATTTTGTCGTTTTTACCCACAAGCGATCTCATGTAAACAGACCCTAAACCTGGACTAGAACTAGAACAGGTCCAGCCCAAGTGTTCCTCAGTAGTCAGGGGGTTTAAGCTGCAGCACATGTGCCAGTCTATATATTTTCTGAATGTTTGTCCCCGCTCTTCACCCCCTTGAATACACTGGCTGTGCTTAAAACTTTTGCCAGTGTTTTCTAATGTGTATATTGCGTGTCCATCGTAACCGAACATCAGATACAGATACATGTAGAACACTCCCTAGTGTGAGGTCACTGTGAAATGTCAATAAACAGTAAATCTTATATAAGTAATCCAATTTCTTTTTAATCATGGTCCTTCTGACCGCTCACATCAGAGTTTGCACTTTGAATGTCATTTTAAAAATCCAGAAAGCTGATCATAATCAGATTTTGATATGCATGTGATGTATTTTGTGTGTTATACATCATATTATTACATTATACCGAATTCTAGTTGGCACAGTGGACTTTATTTATGCGTACATTTATTTTTCATCATTATTATTAAAGGTGTCTGCTAATGACTTTTCATAGATTACTGCTTTGCCTGTACCGTTCCACAGTATTCGACAACATATATTCTTACTGTGAGCTGGTTCTCTATTCCACAGATCTGACTTGTAACCAACCTGCTGTATAGATTGGCATCACCCGCTTGTCTAGATCAGAAAATAATGTAATATTTTAATATAGTAGCAAGAGGAGATACAGAGAAATCCTTGATTGCAAACTAGTTGTGACTCTGTACTATAAATTATTTAAAAAAAAAAGACCATTTCCATTTTGGGATCAATATTTTTAATGAGTTTAAAACATCTGAAAATACAGTTTTATAGTAAGAAAGTACAGATTTAGTTGAATATATAGACAACAGGCTTTTTCAAAAGTGTAAAGTGAGAAATTATACTAGTTTTTGGGATCTGTTCGGAAAAAAAGAGCGGAATCCTGGAATGACTTTGAATGGGATAAAATCAAAAACACCAACACAAACATACAGCTCATAATACTGCGCATAAAATGCATTAAAAGAAAATGAATGCGCCCAAAGAGACAGTGGGTTAAGCCTACCGTACGCTGCTACAATAGATTACAGTACTTAAATATAAAAATAGACTCTGTTCTTTGCGTTTTGTTCTCGCTGCTCCGTGGACGGACAGAGGTGGCGCTGTGCTCCTTCAGTGGCACATCCGGGAAGTCATCTCTCTCTGTGAACACAAGACATAAGACAAAAGTTATTGTAGCGCAGATAGAAGAGCAATGTTTTGTAATGTAAAAAAATATAATTGATAATAATTAATTGGTTTGAATTACGGGGCCTGCACTGCACAATCGCAAAGGCTTCTACTGACTTTAAAGGTGCATTGTGTAACTTTTCTGGTGGAGATGTCCATGGAGATGTTATTGCTTTGTCTTGAATGTTTCACAGTATGGCATTAAACCTTTCTATTATCATGAGGGCCAAACCAGAGCAAGTTACAGGCCAGATCTGTGGAGAGGTGACTCCGTTTACAGTCAGACTGTCTGTTTTTCTAGGTATTTTTGAGCTATGAAACTACCTGTAATTGAATAAATGTAAGGTAGAGCTGTTTAATGTCCCCCAACCAAATGATTACATAGTGCACTTTTAAACTGACACCACACTGGAACTGAATTTGAATACAGTTAATAATTTGCCACTGATGTTAACATTCTCTTAGCCTGATTCATCAGCCAGTTTCACTTTCTGAAAACCGTCTGATCTCGCAGCATTAGGATTCATTCGCTCGACAGTAGGCGGGTACTTTTTTATTTAACCAATCACTGCTATTTGGTCGTGACGTAAGTAATGCGTGAAAACAAAGCAGAGAGTGAACATGTCTGTCAATGATCATTGTCGTTTCTGCGAGATGAACTTGCAAATTAAAAGATGCAATAAAAAAATGCAAAGTTTGTATTTGACAAAGGAAGTCCAAAGGAGGATAGCGTCTGCAGTCTACTATCACAACTCAGATTGGTTCAGCTCTTTGCTGAACCAATTTTTTGGTCGGTGCACGGTCTACAACTTCCGGGGTTCTTGCAAACTGTGTAGTGTATTCTGATTCCTGACCTAGTCGCTGGAGAGAAATGAAATTGAGTAGAGGTACTAGGTAGCGCTAGCCTGGCTAACATTCCCTGGGAGTGTGATGCTAACTGTAGGCTCTGCTCTGTCTGAGGCTTTGTTTGTTTTGTGACTTTAATCTGAGCTTTATTTTAGCACAGTCTGAGCAGAGAGAACTGACTCAGATGGAGCTACAACATGTGAGCTGATTTGTGCTGTTAAACAAGTCTCTCATACATACAAATACAGTCACAAGCTAGTATCATTACCAGACAGTTTTTCAGTTAGTCACTCTCGCTTTTTCATTGAAAAACAAACACTTAAACAGGACCATGAACATTCATATTGACCACAGGCTCATCCATTTTAAATCCATTTTGTATTTTGTGCATGTGTTCACTTTATGTTGTCATGTCCTAAACATTCCTCCATTAGAGATGCATGTAGAACACCCCCAGCGTGAATAGAATAGAACCGTGTGATCTTATGTCCAACTTCGTCCTTTTTAAGTAATTGCATCATTATCAATACCTGTTCAAATGAGTATCTGGTTGTATTTTTTTGAAGGCTGTAATGGATTGTGAAATTAATTTTAAAACATTTCACAATAATCACAATTGCACAACTTATCAGAAGAATTACATTACACAGCCAATAAGATCCTTTGTACTGAGAATCACATTTTACAGTTACTATCTTTAAAAACAGACAAGACTGCACCGAGGAAGAAAGCCGTTAATAAAAGTACTAAAAGTCCACACAAACCTATCACCTCTCTGTATTACCCGCCTCCTAGAGCAGAGCAAATAACACAGGAAATAAAAAGGGGTCAGATCAGGTTAAAACATCAATTTTTAAACTCTCCCCCGGTCACCAGACGACGTGTGTAACTGAGACAAACACAGATCAATGCTCTAATCGAGAAGTAATCACAGACAATCTATTGTGTCATCCGGGCACTGGAGCGATTCAATATTTAGATAATCCACTAAGACTTTTTGTATGGAGTTCACTAGAGGATCAGAGTCAGAGAACGAAGAGAAGTCTGCTCACTGGAGTATAGGGTGATGTGGTTTATTTGAGAGAAATTTGCGTTGGGTAGTTTTAATCTAGATGAAGATTCAGTCATTATGAAGTTTGCAGCAGAGTTCAGACTTGGAGAAAGAAACTGTTTTGTGATTTGATGATTCAAAAGTCTGTACTTTAGTTTATGTTCAGAAAATAAAGATTCACCCTTTCTATTTGTTTTTAGTAAAACAAAATCAAATTTAAATCAGAAAAAAAACTTTAAAATTTTTGTGATTTGATTAATAGTATGATTATTTCTACAAAAAAGTTAATTAGACAGTAGTATTGTCATGGTACAACCATGTTACAGCTGTTTCCCCTTCTCATTTAACCTCTTGAAGTTGTATTTGGAGTGATTCATGCATGTGTAATCACTTCAGACTCAAGACTCCATATTGCTGATTTTTTTTAAAATGTGTTATGAAGCATGACCTGCAGCTATCCATGACATTTACGGGAATTTAGATGAAAGTTGGAATTTAAAATGTGCAAATTTTTACAGTGACCCAGAGGTGTCATAGACCGTTGTTTCCCAAACACTGGGTCACGACCCTCAAATGGGTCACAAGGGAATTTTTTGGGTCACCTGATATGCATGTTGCGCTCTCCTCCTGCACCCGGACTGGAACGTGCTACAAAAACTCTTTTTGTAATGATTTTATCATCTATTTTGTTCCAATATTGCTGGTTCAATTGAATGTTGAAAATAAAAAGAAGGATCCTTTTATTGCTCGTTTAATGTTTTTCATTGTTTAAAACTTGAGTAATACTAATTGTTCAGAGAGACACGATCACTCAGTCAACAATAAAATATCCTCATTATTGTTCAATAATGGTCAAATCCACCTTTATTTTGTGATTTATGAATAATGTCTTTTGATTTGTGTTGCAAAGGCTTGTGACTTTTAAAATATGGGTCCCCAGAAAATAAGTTTGGGAAACACTTTCATAGTATACTATATAGAAGACATAAGCACAATATGTCCTCTTTAAATGTAGAAAACAATTATAAACACACAAAACTGTATTTTTTAAGTCTTGTGTCTTGTGTGTCCTGTCCTTATTGATTACTCTGTGGGTTTCTACACTTTTGACAACCTTATTAGGGGGGCGCTGTGGAGAGACCTTTCCCTCCCTCCCATCTCCTCCTGCTTCCCTTTTCCACCTCCTTTCCTCTCTCCACTCACCAGAGGCTCCAGCTCCTTGTTGTCGATGAGGTGAAACTCCGTGACGAAGTAGAAGAAGTGCTTATAGCAGGTGTTGACGTGAGCCTCGGCGCCCATCTGGCTCACGCGATCAAAGTGGTGGATATAAACGTGAACGAAAACCCGGAACAGACGGGACAAAATCTTCTTAGCCACCTGCATGAAGCTCTTAGGGAAGGGAGTACCTGCAGATACAGAGGGAGGAGCTGTTAGCAACACATAAGAATAGAGGACAGTTACTTTTCCCATGGTCTTGGAATCATTTACAGAAAGATCTTAAAGGTGCATTGTGTAACTTTTCTGGTACTGTGTCCACCACCTGCTTTTCTCCATGGAGATCTTATTACTTTGTCTGAAATGTTTCACAGTGTGTTTTTAAGCCTTTTTATCTTCATGTAGAGCAAACCAGACCAAGATACAAGACAGATCTGTGGAGAGGCAACACTGCTCACAGTCAGAATGCCTGCTTTTCTAGGTATTTTTGAGCAGTAAAACCATCTGTAATTAAATAAATGTAAGGTAGATCTATTTAATATCATACTGTGGAACATTCCAAGCAGAGCAATGACATTTCCATAAAAACAAGAATGTGATGGAACCACTCCCAAAAGGTTACACAGTGTATCTTTAAAGAAACTGTAAAAAAACACATACTGATATTAAAGAAATTATTATTTTGCGTAAAAAATTACATTCTATTATCAAAAAAATTTGGGATTTTAAAAAACAATATTAACAATATTAGGGTATTGAAAACTGCATCAAAAATAAGTATCAACATCTCAAAAAAATGACCGTGAAACCAAAAGTGAAGGTCAAAAGTTTATGTTATAACAGTAGACACAAAAGTCTGCAGTCTGTTTCTGTCAGACATATTGTTAAAACTTTGCACTATTTTTGAGAGTTGAAAAGTGAAAAAGGTGTTTTGAAAGACTTCAGGCAGGAATCTTCTGGAATGATACTGAATGGGGATGATGACTGACAAAAACACAAAAGGCTGAGCTGAAAAGATGGGGGATTTCTTTGGAATGTCGACAATGAACAGGATAAAGAATAGGTACAGACACAAAACAGAATAATGTACAATGAGGAGACTGTATAATAGGGCAGCAACTAATGGTTATTTTATGAAGATTATTTATGTTTTAAGTTGTTTGTGTTGTGATTTTAATGTCTTTCTTATTCTGTGAAGCACTTTGAATTACTTTGTGTATAAACTTGCCTTTCCTTGCCTGTTATCGCTGAAAATCATTTATCGTGGTTACTTTTTACTGCACTAGTGGTGGGCAGTTTTTGGTTATTTTTTCAACAACATGATAAGATTAGACAATTACTTAAAGATACATTGTGTAACTTTTCTGGTGGAGGGTCTGTCAAATGCTTTTTTTCCAAGTTACAGGTCAGATTTGTGGAGAGGCAATCCCGCTCACAGTCAGAATACCTGTTTTTTGAGGTATTTTTGAGCTATAAAACCACCTGTAATTTAATAAATGTAAAGTAGAGCTGTTTAATGTCACACCGTGGAACATTCCTGGCAGAGAAATGACATATATAGAGACAAGCAGGTGACGGATCCCCAACTAAAAAGTTACACAGTGCACCTTTACATGTTGCATTCTGCTTTTTATGTATTTCAGATCATGTTTTAATAATATTGTACACTTACAATTTTTTGTGGAGAATTCTGCTTTATGGTTTGGTTTCATTATTAACATTTATCATCTATATTTACTTCAGCAATAAATCACTCTTCAAAATTTGTTATTGTGACAGGTCTAGTTAAAAAAAAGTCATTCACAGTCTGTAGAATCCAGAAGATTATTCAAATACAACTAGTTATTTCTACAGTTGACCAGCTCTAGTTGTATATTTGGTCACGATTAGTCAGCGCACTGTCCCTACTGTACAAGCAGAGCAAGGCTAATGAATATTGACAGGTCTGTTGATAATTAAAGAGCTGTCAGTTGGAGGCCTTGAGTAGGACAAAGAAATAGATTAATGGATGTAGTGAAGATCAGGGGTGGGCACTGCGCAGTCAGATAACATCGATCAATTGACATTTGAAGGCATCTGCAAAAATAGAACACGTGAAAATCACTGGGAATTACAGGGTCCCTCATGATTCAGTACTCGATATCTGGCTCACGTTACGATATTATCACAATATGGCGATACGTGTGTTAATCGATATACTGGACATGTTTTTCAAGAACCAAATACATTTTAACATTTTAGTTCTTTGTTAAACCAACACTTGCGCAAACGTGTTATGAATTGCATCTATTTTAATCATCAAAACAGTGAATATGTCAAATGTTTGCTTTCCTTACACTAAATAGGCAACAAAATTGTAGTGCAGTCACAAAAAACATTGCTAAAAGATACGAAAAATTATTGGTTATAAATTGACGACACAACAGCCCACGATAACGGATCACAAAATTTGGTATCACGATATATGGTATTTTTTCACATTTTTGAACAAATTCATATCTTTCAAAAAAGGTCTCTGCACTATGTAACTTTTCTGGTTTAGTGTCTGCCACCTGCTAGTCTCACGGAGATGTTAATGCCTTGCCTGGATTGTTCTACATTACGGCATTAAACGAATACTGGCTCGAGTGTCCCCCTGGCATGAAAGTCCCTGCACGAGCGTCCCATTCCCTCGGCGGGAGGGAATGGGACTCCGGGCACCCACTTCTCACGGGTAACTGCTGTGCCCAGGAGAGGGGGGATGAACTCGCTGGCCTTTAGTCGCCCACGTCACACACTGTGATGTGTTGAGTTTGAAAATCAGCTTCTCCATCATATATGTGAATGTAGTGAGACCAAATGTCTGGCCTTTTTATGTCATTTTCCGATCTTCATGAAGCAGCTCACATTTCTTCAGTATGGAATATAAATATAATCCTCATTTGTTTGCAGAAATTTACTATGAAATCGTAATTACTTTTTTTTTTTTCCACCTGTCCTATAGCATCTGTAACTGTTGATTTGGAAAGAAATATTCATTATTTCTTTACCTGCTGCCATGAACATCATTTGTAAGCAGCGCAACACAAGAAACTTATAAAGCTACAGAATTTGTTCAAAAATCATTCAGAATCACTTTTAGGAAGGTCTTAGATATTTCAAGGAAATACATAGTTAAGATAAAATCTTGAAATAATTACCTGTGATGGCATTGCCAAACTTGCCTGACCACATAGAACCAGCGTTTTATCTAAAGAGCCACTGGCCAAGTTCTGCAGATGGACTGAGGAGAGTATTGGCAATTAATAATTATAATGTAATTAATACAATAAAAAAAAAAAAGTTAGTTTCTTAGTTTCATATAGGGTATCATTCAGGGGGCCTTGGGGCTTGGGGACCTTCCCGTCAGAGGGACTTTCCAGCTGATTTCCCATAAATTTATGCATTTCCCTAGTGACAAGCAATGAAGCCAGCAGGCCAAGTTACAGGTCATGTCTGTGGAGAGGCGACCGTGGCATGTTCAAAATACAATTGCATGTATTTTTCAAGGTATTTGTGATTGATGTAAAGTTACCATTGATCAAATAAATACTAGACAGATTTGTTTAATGCCTTACTATCAAACATTAAAGTCAAAGAAGCAATAACATCTCCATGGAAATAAGCAGGTAGCAATCCTGCCACCAGAAAACTACATAATGCATCTTTAAATATTGAGGTTTATTTTGACAATATCACCTTAGAGGAGAGGTTAGAATGCAGAGACTGTGAAGGTGCTTTTGATCTTATACTAGCATCTCAGGCATTCTACAAGCATATTATTCTATTTCTATTCCACCTTGGCCATTCTTTAACCTTAACCCTGACATGATAAAGGCCCCGGGTTCAATTTACTGTGGAAAAACAAACACAAGTCAATTTGGGGAGATAAGCCTGTGTCTGAACAGCGTGATTAACTGACTTGGTTCTGTTTGGAGCTGACTAATACAACAGCATTTCTGGCATCTGTTGAAGGGCGCGCGAGCTAAGGTCGCTACTATTATTAGCCCAAGTGTGTATTGTGTGACCCATTTTGTAAATCCAGGGCTAGGAAGTTTCCACGGCGACTCAAAGGCCAAATAACAGCAAAGACCTAGAATGTAACAGGGGGATGATAGATAATGATAATACAACAGACAAGGCAAGTCCTTAATGTCCATAACAATGTGGACTATGTAATGCATGTGCCCTTGTCTATTTGATATATTTCAAAGTGGCGTTCCCTTTTTATTGTACTGTAAATGGTTAAAAGGTGCACTATGTAACTTTTCTGGTGAAGAGTTCGCCATAGACATGTTAATACTTTGCCTAGAATGTTCTGTAGTTTCACCTTTAATAATCTTGCATTTACTAAATTAAATTAAATATGTTTTTTTATTGCTTGAAAATACACTGATAACATGCATTCTTATTGTGAGCAGGTTCACCCCTCCACAGATCTGACCTGTAAAATTTGCCTGGTGGAAGTGAACTTTTCTGCTAAAGCAGGGGTTCCCAACCACCAGGCCATGGGTCGTTTGGTACCCCACGCAATTTTGTTTCTTGTTCAAGCCACCAGTATATAAAAATATTGAAATATTGTCTAAGATTGGGCCACACATAAAGCGTGAACCACCCCCCCGGTCCTCAATTTTCTGCGCCGAACCACCCCTCAGTCCTTAATTTTCCACGTTCCCAAAAGAGCGCAAACATATTATGAAACTTTAACAACAACAAAGGTCGTATGATCTTGTGAAGTATGAATAGGCCTCAAACTGGTCCGTGGCGCAAAAATTGTGCTACCTGCTTGTCTCCATGAGTCTCTTACTGCTTTGTTCCACAGTATCTATCTCCATGGAGACAAGCAGGTAGCAGACCCTTTACCTGAAAAGTCACACAGTGTATCTTTAAACTGTACTAAATGTGACATCTCAGCATTAGTCATGCTTTGAGATTAAACAGTCTTGGGCCAACAGTTTCTCAACTTTTTCTTTCACTATCTTCTACGGACACTGAGCACACCCCTGTGAGACCACTGGTTATGAGCACTCATGCTTACAACAACACAACTTTGAAAACACAGAGCTGGGTACATTCAGTTTTGTTTTGAGAAAGAAATTTTACTTCTAGTTTTGCTACATCATGTTGTACAGGCTCTGTCAAATTTTGAAGAACAATATATTACTCAAGATTTACTGTAATAAAAGATCATATTGAAACTGTTACTACTGTTACTACTGTACTACTACTGTAATTCATTGTTTTCTGTATTGCACTATACTTTTTATTGTTCTGATATTGTAATTCTGGTTTCATTATGCTTCTGGAAAACACCTTGAATTTCTAACTAGCACGAAAGGCGCTTACATAAATGTTAATACTTTATGCCACTGACACAAAGCAGGATAATCCCAGTAAACCAATTTTTAAATAGACAGTATCATTAAAAAGCCTGAGCTGCCACAAATAAATAGCAGAAGTAACCGATAATTAGCCATAACAGTTATGTATTCTACTCTCTACAGCTCAAATCATGTTATTACAAAAAATGGTAAAAATCTCCCCACTATTGCAAAAAAAAAAAAAAAAGTATCAATGGTAAGTAGAGCTCCAAAATATACTGTTCCAGCGTTCATATATTGAACTATAAGTCAGTATTGAAATTATCATTGTGTGAAGAAAGGGTTTTGTTTTGGTCTTGTTTTGTTAATTATTAATAAAATAGAATAAAAAAATACTGTAATTGTGCAAGCCTACGCTCAAAGCTCTAAACTGTAGTGATGATTCATGAACGGAAAGCTGCTTCTGGCCACATCTGCACTGTGGTAAACTGACGGAAACAAGGCTGTCAATCCTCGCCACCGCCCCCTGTGACCGCCACCAGGAACTCACGAAAACTCTCAATTAGTTTATATTTAAAAGATTTGCATAGGCGTAGTTGGGGGGATTTTGATTGGACTTTTTTGTTCTTAAAACTATAAGAATGTCTCCAGCCCCCAATAGGAGAGAGTGACAGCGCAGCATTTGTTCTTCATTTGTTTTTTCACTCAAGTAAATCCTATTTTGTCTACGCGTGTTTGGGCTGTAGTCCTTTAGTCGATTAATCGGGTATATCTGGCAGAGGAGAAGAGGAGAACAGGAGAGAGGGGCAGAGGAGGAGAGGAGCAGAGGAGAGAGGAGAAGAGGAGTAGAGGAGAAGAGGAGTGAGGAGAAGAGGAGAGAGGGGCAGAGGAGAGAGAAGAGGGGCAGAGGAGAGAAGAGCAGAGGAGAATAGGAGAGAGGAAAACAGGAGAGAGAGGGGCAGAGAGGAGAAGAGCGGAGGAGAGGAGAATAGGAGAGAGGAAGACAGAATAGAGGGGCAGAGGAGAGAGGAAAGGAGAGAGAGCAGCAGAGGAGAGAGGAGGACAGGAGAGGAGAGAGGAGCAGAGGAGAATAGGAGAGAGGACAGGAGAGAGGGGCAGAGAGGAGAGGAGAAAAGGAGAGAGGGGCAGAGGAGAGAGAGTAGTAGATTAGAGAGAGGACAAGAGGAACAGGCGAGAGGAGGACAGAAGAGAGGGGCAGAGGAGAGAGGAGGACAGAGATGGGCAAAGGAGAGAGGAGAGTGAGTAATAGAGGCGAGAGAGGACGAGAGGAACAGGAGAGAGGAGGACAGAAGAGCGGGGCAGAGGAGAGAGGAGAGGAGAGAGCGGCAGAGGAGAGAGGAGGACAGGAGTGGAGAGAGGAGCAGAGGAAGACAGGAGAGAGGGGCAGAGAGGAGAGGAGCAGAGGAGAGAGAGGAGAGGAGAGAAGGGCAGAGGAGACAGAAGGGCAGAGGAGCAGAGTGAACAGAAGTGAAAGGAAGACAGGAGAGAGGAGAGGAGGAGAAAGGAGCAGAGAAAAGAGGAGCAGAGGGTGAACAGGAGAGACTTTCCTCAGGTGCTGGTTCTGACCAAAATTACTCTATAATGAATGAATGTATTATTATTTCAGGACTTTACAATCTTAAGTCAGACCAACATTTTTCATTTAAGATAAATGTGTTTAACATATGTTTTATTAGTTCTAATGTCAAATTCAGGATTATGCAACTATCTGCTGCTAGCTGCCATCCCTATACATGTGTAGTTGAGATAATACAAACTCCACTGTGAGACAATTATTTTAACTGACGTCTACCTCTTGAACCTTCACTCAGGTTTCCTCTGTGGTTTCCTTCCCTTGCCTCTTCAGAGCTTTGTTATACCACTTAATATGGTGTATTTGATTGACAGCTGAAAAATGGAGGATCAAGGAGAGGAATAAACGAAAAGGAAGAAGAGAGGAAATAGAAATGAGATGTGCCCACTAGGGATGGGCATGATTAATCGATTAATCGATAATTGATCATTAAGAATTTCATCGATTAGGTTAATTTTAATCGACAAACCGAATGTAGGTTGCTGTGCGTAGCGTGACCAAACAGGGGTCCGTACATGTAGCTTTCTGCATTCAGAAGGAGCGAGCAAACACAAACAGTAGGTCAGCCTGCAGCGTGCCGAAGCACAAATGTGTATTTAACGATGATTTGTACAAGAAATTCCACGCTTCTGTTGCGTTCGGGACAAGTGGGAGTCCTTGTGCACAGTGTACAAAGCAGCACATATGTTTCGGTGTCCAGTGGGAAAAAGTTTTACCAGGTGAGAGTCGCGCAATGTCGATGACGAGTCCCAACCTCCCTCCCCCCGTACGGTGTCCTGGTTTTGACAAACGCAAATATGGTCACACTAACCTGTATTCCACTGAGTCATGTCTTTTAATCCGACAGAAATTGACCGCATCAGCGCACAAGAGCTATAGTTTTATCTTCGCTGAGTTAATGCAAATTAGCGATGTGGTTTTAAGTTTCGTTTCTGTGAAAGTTGCACAAAACTGAATTAAACACATTATAATGTCAAACGGATTGATGTGGCTCTAGATTCGTTACGGTTTATATGTCGTAAAGTTGAATTTATTTATGCAGATTAGTAGTGCAGATAGTAATAATAATGATGATCATTTTAATATAAAAACGTTAATGATTAATCGATAATTGATCGTTAATTCTTCCGACGATCGATTATGAAAATTTCATCGAATGCCCATCCCTAATGCCCACATATTCTCCACTTGTACACTCCAGCTATTCCACTAGGACGCTACATAAACAAAGAAACATCCTACCACATATCTACATACTTACCGACATTTGTGGGGAAGATGTTCTCGTTGTTGATCTGTACCTCGATCCAATCCATCAGCAGACTCATGTACTTCGGAGCGGGCAGAGCAGTGGGCCTCTTGTATTTATGCTCATCCTGCCAGCGATACTCATATTTGGGCCCTCCGGACATCACGGGGCAGGTCTGATCCGTGCACGAGTCGCTGATGGTGCCATAGATGAGGTTGATCCGGTTGAAGAAGTCCACCACGTGAACAGCCACCCAGTCGTTGAGATCCTCGCCGTGGGGGAGCTGCACTGCCTGCTTCAGATCCAACCCGGCGTTCAGAGACGCCTGGGCTTTTTTATGGAGCTCAAAGCGTTGGGTGCCCGGTTCGAACTTACGCTTTGGTCGAAATGTCCGATCTTTGTTGAAGACCTGTTTCAAAGCCAGGGACATTGTGAAGGAGGGTGAGTGGAGACAGGTGGAGGTGTGGGTGTTTGGGATGCCTGCAGTGAGTGATTGACCGGAGAAGATGAGGGAGACAAAGTGTAGACTAAACAACCAGGATCTGGGCCAAGGACTGACTTCAGGTATTTCCAGAAACACACGGGCTGATTCTGCAAGAAGAAAATAGAGCAGAGAGCGTCAGGTGGCCGTACGTGACAATGTGACTGTGCTATTTTCAGAAAGCAGCAAATATACATTACCATTCAGTGTTTTTTTCTCTACTACTTTCTTTCTTATTTTAGATACATACAGAAGGCAGTGAATATATGAAGCATATGTGGAACTGTGTGGTAAAGAAAAAGTTAAATAAGTCAGCTAAATATTTTTATGTATTATTTTCAAATTCTCAAAGTGCTGCAAACCCTTGGCCTTCTCTCAAGGAGCTTCATGATGAAGTCTCCTGAAATGGTTTTCACTTCACAGCTGTGCCAATTGTCAAAAGCAGTGACAAAAACAATAAGGGTGGCTATTTTGAAATTATCTCATTTTTTTGTATGCTACATTCCATATGTGTCCATTCCTAGCAGAAGAGAGAATCCACAATGTAAATACTCAAGGAAATAAATATGAAACATGTAAGCCTAACATGTGTCCATGGAACATTTCTGAATACGTACTTTTAAAATTATTAGAACTCCTCCTCATAATTAATGTTACAATGATTAGCCTACAAACCTTAGTTGCCTAATCTGCAAAGTATGTCACAATTCTAATGCTGTTCTTGAGTTGCAAACTGGACTTTCCCCATTGTAGGACAAATAAATGTTCTTGTATCTTATTTTGTTATTGATGTAATTTTGTCCATTGTTCAGGCAACTTAAACCATGAATTGAATTTCACTATAAACAAAATTCACCAAAACGTCCCTCATGTATAGTACGTTAGAATTGCTGAAACTGCAGTTGTCTGTTGCATATTTTAACATGTTTGCATTTTCAAAACAGCACAGGCCTGTATTTTGCAGGTAATCCCACATGAGTCTCTCCTGGTTGGAGGAATTTGACTGAAATTATTGTTTATCATATATATTTTTTATCCAGGATTAAGTGTAATCCTTTACATCTCCATCTCAGTATCCAGTTCAACGCTGGAATATGGATACATGATAATCCCATGACCACCAAGGATGAAAACCAACGACAAAACAACATACGACGGGACGTTTCCATGACAATAAAGAATGTAACAGCACCGTAATGTAGCTTTACGCACCGATGCAGATGCGGTTTTTTGATAGCCATGTTGCTTCTCTTTGCTTCACACGCGAGCAGTGGCGATAGGTTACACTTACTTTTGCAAGTTCCGTAACATATCTAGCCTAAAGCATCGATTAAGATACTCTGACAACGCCTGCAGTCTTCTATGGCCTCGGGTTGTCTTATGTGCAACCCCAACACCAAAGTTACCAGCGCGCCCTGACGCAGACGTGAGTCATTTCCTATTACAAGACTAATTCCGCCTTAAAACCAACTATCCCCGGAATGACAATAAAACCTTCCAAGGCGCCGTTATTTAGCTGTAAAACTCGAGTCAGCAAAAAGCATTAAGTCTACCATCAAAACATAAACGCCCACTTTGAATTATCATCAAATTTTACATTGTTTCAACGCGTCCTCAAAGCGGCAGGAGATTAAACAGCGAAGCCACATGACGGAGTTTATTCTTAACGCAAGCACTAGACTTGTTGCTGATTTTAACGACAAAAAACCCATAGATCATTATTTAATTTGACATAATTTACTCTCTATATACACTTAGGGTTACATACAGATTTAATATTTGACATTAACGATAAAAAGGTGATGAAACGGTTTAGTTCAAAGCTACTTTCTGAACTTACTTGTTCCGCCTTCCTGTTGGGTCAAGCTCCTTGTAGTTACAACCGAAAAAATACACTATCTGATCATTAAACCTTCACAATAACATTCAAGAAAGCTACATTATGGTGATACAGAGGAATACATATTGCCAAAACGTATAATGATTAAATCGATGTCACTATTAAACAAACTATCTGAAGTGACTCCTCCCTACCCACAGAAAACTACACCACTGTCAAGGTGCATGCGCTTAAAGTGGCTTCCTGTAGATTTTTCAAAATAATGTTCATCATACGTTCTGTCGCCATTCTGCGTGTGTATTTCTTTATGGGTATGCTTTTATTGTGAAAGACCCTCTTCATTTCTCGGTACAATGTGTTTTTGGGCTTTCTGAAGTTGCTTTGATCTGACGTAAAGTAGCAGGGTGTTACTTAGTTACATGGTTATAATTATACAAAATCCACGGACAAACCTTCAATTTACTCAAGTCATATGGGACTTGGCTATGTTAATGCAAAGTATTTTTATAGATGAATCATATGAAGGCCTAGTTGTCGGCTCCAATTACTTTCTAGTAGTTTCCACGACTTCTCCAACTACCTGTTTTGATTGCTGTCTTGTTTGCATTTTATTTGGTTGCTAGTCGCCATACGCCTATGAAATTGTTCCTAGACTAGTCTGTCAAGTCTAGTTCAGGCTGACTAGTTCACATAAAATGAATTCTAATTAAAACTTTTACAAACGTAGCCACTTCATCAACTTGCCTTTGAATAGAACCTATTTAAATCCTTTTGTGGTCAAATTAGAATAAGGGAAAACCCATATAAGTTTCACACACACATCGTATTACAAAACACATTGGGTTTTTTTTGTTTTTTTTTGTTGTTGTACAGAATCACTATTTACTTAAGTAACTTTTTAATAAAATTGTACTTTTATGACATCAGACTTCAACCTGAGTGATATATTTTACATTGTAAGACTACTTTATGCCCACAATAAGAAGTGATTTACACATTATGTGTCCACCGCTTCTTCAGATATTCTTTAGTTTGGTCATTTTCTAGTTTATCAAAATGCCATATTTTGAGCATTATTTAAAGGAACAGTATGTAACTTTCTGGAAGTGGCACATCTGCACAATTCCATGGAAACAGGAAGTTAAAGCATACATTGGAACATTCTCCACAGAGATAGATATGTTTTATGCCATACTGTGGAATATTGTAGCCAAGGGAACAACATTTCCATTGAGACAAGATTTTTATTTTTTTATTTTTTTGTGAAATTAAAAAAATAATAATAATTTTTTTTTTTTAAGTTAAGTTAAGTTAAGTTTTTTTTTTTTTTTTTTGGCTCAAAAGTGTTATGCACTGGAGCTTAAAGTTGTTTTGTGGGCTAAACAAGTACAAGTTGAAGAATAATGCAATCTCTGGTTTGTTTTAAAGTTAATGTAATTGAAAGGACAACAACAAAAATTACATAATTAATTAAATCAGCTGACAGACCAGTGCTTGACAACAATTTCGCTCTCAGCATCCATCTCTGCTCATCACAAAAACAAAACACAGTAAACAACTTTAAATAATCTGGCCAATGACCCTTTTCTCCATAGACATCCGCCTTACAGACAGTCAGACATATCTCTATCACATTGAGTCCAGTGCTGTGGAGTCTTATGCTGTTGAACTGTGTCAGATTGTGCTGCATGCGCCTCTCTCATAGTCGCTCTTTGTTGTAGCTGGTTAATAGCTGTTTAAAAGGCTCTTTGTGGCTCAGAGACAGTGTGTTCCTTGTCTTCTGGGCCTAGTTGACGCTTTTTGCTGCAGCTTCTCCGTTCTGAGGCCGATTCGAGATGGAGAAGTGAAAAGATCTCATGCTCTCCTCCACTTTCTTGAAGTCAGGGCGTTTGTCGAGCCTGAAGGCAGAAAAGAGAAGAGAGAGGAGGCTTAGGTGTTATTACAGACAAGACAGACAAACAAACAGAAAAAGACAACCAGATAGACAAACACACAGACTGAGAGAAAGTCAGAGACAAACAGATAGAGATAGAGAGATAGAGAGTGATATATATAGGTAGTTCTCTTCGGTCAGTTGGCTTAATCATTAATCATATTGCAATGATTCTTTAGGTTTGGGCTGAAGTTTAACACTTATTTTAACCTACATAACATACAGAATAGAATATAGACATACAATATATAGATAGATAAAGAGAGATAGAGATAGATAGAGACAGAGAGAGAGATTACCGACTGTTGACAGATAAAATAAAGTAATAATGTTGTATGGTTAAGTGATACGGCATATGAATTAATCATATTTTTTTCTTATTATTGACCACAATTCTCTATTCCATTTCATAATTTCTGTATTAAAACTCAATAAAAGGACTTTCAATATTCATTTCCAGCATATAAACAATACAGACTTAGATTCTAGAGTAGCACAACTAACATTTCACCACTAGAGGGCACCCTACTAACATCAGTGACCCCCATACGTTTCTTTTTTTTTTTTTTTTACTAGTATTTCTCTATGTGAATAGTTATTATCGCATTGTGTATATGTTTTTGGATCACATGTACGGTCAGATCTAGTTTTATTCATGCCCATTTGACTCAACTACAATGTACAGTGTTTGTATTTTGCTGACGAAAACTTTTTTAGTGGATAGGCCTGTCACGATTACAATTTTTGAAGCACAATATATGGCTGAAGTAAATACAGACGATAAACGATAATGCTGAAACTAATTTATGCCATGATTCTACATCTACTTTATAAAAACTCATGAGTTCAAGTTATTAATTCAGCCTTTTACAGTTTAAATCTCACTGTATGCCCCAAAAATAATCTAACATTTCCCAGTAGTGCAAAGAAAATAAACACACGATAAATACTGACACCAAAAATATATTCTTCCATCTAAAAAAAATAATAAAATAGAATAATATCATAAAAAAGATCAGTTTGTCCCTTATTTCATAAAGTCAAACCCCTAAATGATATAGACTATTGACTATTGAGCTACTGAACCTTTTCTTGATATTAATATAAGTTTATATAGTAATTATTGTGACAGGCCTGTTAGTCAACTACAGCTCTAATATCTGTGTTTAAATCTGAGACAGTGGTTTCTTACTCGATGGTCCAGCACTCCAGCATCAGTGAGTACATCTTCTCAGGACAGTCGGCCGGACGATCCAGCCTCTGACCGCTTTTAACGAAGTCCAGCACCTCCTGGCCTTTCAGTTTCTTTTACAACACAAATAAGACATTTTTAGAGAAGATTTAAAGTAAAAAATCCATTATGTAACTTTTCGTTTGGGGGTCTGTCACCTACTCGCTTCTATGGACATATCAATGCTCTTAGATTTACTGTTATTTATTCAATTACAGGTGCTTTTGTAGCTCAAAAATACCTAGAGAAATGCACATTCTGTCTGTGAGTGGAGCCGTCTCTCCACAGATCTGACTTTAACTTTGTCTAGTTTGGTTTCCATGATAGAGAGCTAGAAAGGTTTAATACCATACAGTGAAATATTCCAGACAAAGCAACAACATCTCCATCTAGTGAAAGGCATTTGTAAGAAATTTTATGCAGTGCACCTTTAAGTTTAGCTATACTGTTAAAAAAGGAAACATACAGTACATATGATTATGGTCTTGTATAACGCCATTTCAGACCAACAGTACAGACACAGGAAATGAGTGGTTTTCAGATTCTAGTCGTGATGTCATACTCTCAGATGGGGGCGAGAGACCGATTTCCATATTGATTACATTGTGCGATACACTGAAATAACAGCTAAATTGACCAATGTTTAACTTCATCATTTGCATTTGTATTTAAAAAACGATTCATTTTAGCAGCCCCACTATTAAATCTATTAAATATTATTGGGCTACTAATGCTTTGCAGTCACACAATGCTGGTGATGGTGCACATACTCTGAAAAATCAAGAAAAAAAAGATACAAAATAGTTTTAAACAATTATTTTTCAGGAGCCTGTGGTGAATTTAAGGGTTCATGGTCCTGTTTAGATGTTTGATTTTCAACAAAAAGGGGAAAATGGCACCTAATAATAGTAATATAGTAAATACATTTATTTATATTGCATTTTACATTTAAGGAAATCTCAAAGTCAGAGTTAAACAATTGCATAATTCACAGTTCAAGATCATATAAATACAGAATTAAAAAGGTAATAAAAAGTAGATCTAGTCAGAGGTGGAACCAAGTCGTTGTTTTGCAAGTCTCAAGTAAGTCTCAAGTCTTTGACCTCAAGTCTGAGTCAAGTCCCAAGTCAAATACAGGCAAGTCCAAGCTGAGTTTTGAGTCACTGGCCCATAAGTCAAGTCCAAATCGTTTGCTTTGAGCTGTAAGTCATTTCAAGTCTTTAAGCTACAGTATATTTGTAACTTTGGTTTAGATTTATGCAATTTATATGAATTTTAAACCAAATTGTATTTAAAAAGTCATGGTATATTTATATATGAGTATTTATATAAGAGTTGTAGAAATGCAAATGTTTCCTTTTTAAATGTCTTAACAAGATCTTAGTGTGAATCATTATGGCCAGAACAGAAAGAATTCAGATTTAAAAGAGCTTAATAACAGTTATTTTGTCATGTAGTCTGCTCGGAAATGGAAGGATGTTCTTTGTAGTTCCCTCTTTTTACTGTATTGTTATGTATATTACTGTAGTACATTTGAGGATTCCATATTACAGTACTTCAGTTACTGTTGCCATAGTAACAAATAGAGAAGTGGGAGGGACATGTTCCAGTGTGTTCGTGTAAAATTAAGCACCACATGTATCAACTGTAAAGAGAAAAGTATTTTCTAAAAACATATATTTTTTAGGAGAAGCATCAAGTCTCCCCAAGTCGCAGGCCTCAAGTCCAAGTCAAGTCCCAAGTCACCGACCTTCAAGTCCAAGTCGAGTCATAAGTCTTAGTACATTTTATCAAGTCAAGTCTAAAGTCCTAAAAATAGTGACTCAAGTCTGACTCGTGTCCAAGTCACGACTTGCACGTCCCAACCTCTGGAACTAGTAGGCCTCCCATTTTGATGAGCGTGGTCCTGGGCTAATGGTGTAATTTTATATGTGAGAGACTTTTACTCACAAATCAATTCACCAGTTGTAGTTCCAACCAAGTCAGATCATTCTGGTCAGATTGTGTTAAAATAAAACTCAGATTAAAGTCTAATTTTGAGCAGAGCTTCAGACAGCAATATTTTCAGTTTCACTTTCAGAGAATGTTTTTATCAACTGCAAACTATCAATAGAATGTTGTGATGTAATCTGAAACCCAGCAATACAATAACAAAGCATTGAAAAGTATCTTAAAAGGTGCACTATTGATGGAGATGTTACTATTTTTGTCTGTTTCATAACGTAAAATCACAACAATAGTAGTCACCTCAGTCTTTTCATACTCGATCAGTCCTGATTAGTCAATTAATGTGAGCCCCACTGAGCACTACCTTATATGGTTTTCCTCCATAAGAAAAGGCCTCCCACATGGTGACGGCAAAGCTCCACACGTCACTTTTACTGGAGAACTTGCGATGGCTTATACACTCAGGGGCGTACCACTTCAGCGGCCATTTTCCTGCACTGCGAGACTACAAACAACAAGCACAAACAACAATCACGTAACATTAACGGCCCATATTACAATATAGTCTGATGTGTGTTATAATGTTATTTCCTCATCATGTTTAACACACAAATCCTGCATATTTAGGCTGAGTTCTCAAAAACTCTGTTCAACCTTGTGATGTCATATGGTGATGCAGGAAGGACTCCACTGTGCTTGTAAACTCCATACACCTTCACTAGAATCATTTGTATCATTTCAGCTCTGGAATTTCCAATCCGTACTAAACAAAATGTAAAAGGAGCTATTAACTTGAAAACTACTAGTACATGACGTCTCAAGATGGAACAGAACACTTTGATCTTTGGAGATGTAAACAGATTAATAATGCAGGATTATTCAAACATGTGAATGAAACAAAACTCTGGGTATGTTTTCCATGAGGTAACACCATTCTAACTTTCATACTTTCAACATTCTATGGACTTAAAAGTCATAAGAGTGCATTTTACCTAATATTGCACTTACTGTGTGTTTTCTTCATGTATTAAGCTAAAACATTTTTAGGTCATGAGTAGTATAGTACACAATTTTATTAGCTTTTTTTTTTTTTTTTTTTTACCTATTCCTGATATGTTAAACCAGGGATCACCAAACGTTTTTTTCTCTGGGAGCCACATTATGGCTCTTGACTGTGATGGAGGCCGGAGTCAGGTCGGCCGTATAACAGAACTGTATGACCCTGACGACGCAGATTATATTCTTTGAAAACCGCCACACTTTCTTTACATATCAGACAAACTGCATGGTCCTTACACTGAACAAAAAATAATCAATCTTCCACTGTTCTTTGAAAACTCAGCACTCTCTGTCAAATTTTCGTACTTTAACACGAGCCATTTGCTGTCCTTAACTGCACTACAGAACTCTACGCATGCTTGATGAAAATTCGGCAGCAAATTTGGCGGCAAATGTAAATACATTATATAATTATATAAATATAAATACTTTATATAAATATAATTTTTTTAATAGAAAAAATCTACAAAATATTAGATGCCGACATGTTATTATTTGCCAAAAAGTAATTCAAGAAAATAGGCCATGACAGCTTTTGAGGACTGCCTCATAGGGCCAGTTTAAGTGGTGGGGAGCAGAGGGGCTGGGGGACAGGCCTTAGTTTGATGACCCCTGCGTTAAACAATTTAAACCTGTATTAAATTGTTTTACACTGCAGTCTATGTATTCTTTGAGCTCTGGCCAATCAAAGCAGGTGATGCAGAGCTATAATGTAGGTTTATTGTTTTGAAGAGGAGACAAAAGTGAGAACCATGGATTGGGATGGTTGGGAAAGTACTCAGTTATTTTTATGATTTTACAATTTAATAAAATGCAAGTACAAATACAGGTTTGATACTGGTTACAGTAATGTGAGTTTATGTTTTTCTGTGTTACCTTGTAGTAGCTCTCGTCTGCGTTGAGAGCCTTGGACAGACCGAAGTCGCTGATCTTGGCGTAGTGGGGTTTGACCAGCAGGACATTTCGCGCAGCCAGGTCTCTGTGCACAAAGTTCTTCTCCTCCAGATACTTCATCCCCACAGAGACCTGGTGCATCAGGTTTACAATGTTCTCCACTGTCACACTCTCTCTGCAGGAGATACATACACCACCAGTCAAATGTTTGGACACACAAACCCTGCATGTTTAGTTCTTTGCTCAAATGGAAAACCCTCTAACACAGGAAGTGCTCCACTGTAAATTTAAACTCCATACACTTTCACGAGGATCATCTGAATAATTACAGCCCTGGAATTTCTAATCTCAACTAAACGAAAAGTAAAAGGTAGCAAAACAACAACTCCAGGTTAACAACATTTTAACATGGCCTTAAGATATGATATATTAAAATAAATGACAACACAAAAATTTAACATAAAAAGGGGCCATCAAGCCCAATGTTTTTGTTACTAAGATTAAATCAACATTAGATTGTTATCAGTAAAGGCTGTATTTGATTTGAACCAGTTTACCTCATATCTGGGGACGCACATGGGTCAGTTTTATGAAATTCAAAATATAATTCCTACATACAGTTTAATGTTTTTTTAAATTATTTTATTTTCATGAATATTTACATTGTAGTTCTCACTGGAGGCAACTATGAATGAACACATATAGAATGAAATAGAATAGAATAAAGGAAATATAGCAAAACGATTTGGGTAAAATATTTATTTGTAATTTTTGCATTGTGTTGCTTGGGTTCACAGTTACCATCGGAACATAACTGAAGTGGCTGATATCAAGAAATTCTACCAATGGTTTGAGAGGGCTGGTCTGAAGGACAACACAGAGGCACTGATCCTGGAGCCATCCAGGAGCAGACCCTGAGCACTTGAGCAATAGAGGCCCAGATCGTGATACCAAGCGAAGGAAAAAGAAACACGGGAAACTAGAGAAGTACCAGGGGCTCAAGGAAGAGCTGGAAAAGGCCTGGAAGGTGAAGGCATCAGAGGTGCTTGTGGTGATTGGAGCACTTGGGGCTGTAACCTTTAGTGGCTACAGCAGATACCAGGAAAAACAACAGACATCTCTGTCCAGAAAAGTGCAGTGAACAGCAAAGATACTGTCAAGCTCCCTGGCCTTTGGTAGGGGACTAGTTATTATAACTGTCTTGAAAGGCCTAAAGTGGTACGTAAAAGCTTGTACAGACCTTTTACTTGCGAGGTATTTGTTGAGGGGTCCAGCGGAGGCCATTTCCATTACTAACATGAGGCTTTCAGCTTCGCACAGTCCCAGCATTCGGACGATGTACGGGTTACTCAGCTGGTACATGATCTCTGCCTCTCGCATCATCTCATCCTTCACCAGTTTGTCATTATCACTCTTCAGCACTTTGATGGCCACGTCGATCTGACCCCTGACAATAACACAGTTCACTTTACATTTAGAAGGTGAAGAACACTGGGACACTCACATTTCTGTGTACAGTGCAGTAACATTGACGTCAGGTGAACAACATAACCTGTTCATTCTTACTTGTCTGTTTTAAGGACTCCTTTCTTGACACAGCCGAAGTTTCCAGACCCCAGCTCGACCTCGTCCAGGACCAGTTTGGACCTCTTGATGTTGAACTTCTTGAGCTCGTGGGGGTTGTGGTACGTGTTATCGTCCATGGGCAGGAGGTCCCGTTCTACATGAATCAACAATACATGTCAGATAAGCAAGAACGTAGGTCAACATAGATGAGAACAAAGCCTTAGACTAACACGTATACAAACTATCTGATGCACAAGGGAATTATTTGGACACAGTAGCTCACACATCACAATATATTATAATAACAAAGAGTAAAAATATAAATGGTGACAATAAACACAAAATAAGTACCAAAAGACTGGTGTCAAATAAAGCATAATTAATTAAGTTAAAAAATAAAAAAAATATGCAGATATAGTAATACAAATATATCTCAGCTATATACAAAAGGTCATAAGAAGAAAAGAGTGCAAAGATGAAATAGTGATTGACATGATGTGATGATATGATATTATCTTACTAACAAAACAAAACTGATTACTGCTAATATGTGTAATTGGTGTTTTTTTCTCTACTGTTTACTGCAGTGGGACACTATAATGTAGGACTTAGTTGCATTATGAAGGCTGGTCTTACTTTGAAAATACATAATATAAATGAACTATGGTAAAGTAGGGGTAGGATTAAAGCCAAATATAAACTTAAATTTGTACCAAAAAGAAAAACATGCATCTTTACTGTGACAGGGCTTGCATCTCCACATACCTGACTCTCCAAGAGGAGCCAGGAGGAGAAAATTTTATAATATTTCACACTAAGGCATAGACCTTATCTATATCCATGGAGAATGTTTCAGAATTTGGTTTTAACTTTCTGTTTCCGTGAAATCCTGCAGGTGACGTATCACATTCAGAAAGTTACATAAGTGCCTTTCTATTTGAAAATGTAATGCCATTCATCACTATTCATATCCCTTAAATCATTTACATTTTATGATGTTTAACAAGGACGTAGGTTTGCAGAGGGATGGTGGGGACATGTTACAACCAATATTTAGGGAAGACAAAATAGTTCCTAACAATGTTTTCAATATTAATTGAACACGTTTTAGTTCACATTTTGTTTATTAGACGTTCTGAGATGTATTCAGTGATATGACGACAGGGTTACACCTGCCGGTATTTCATTGGCTGCAACAGAGTGATGTCATTAGTGGAGCCAGGAGCCTAAACTGGGGAAGCGGCAGGACAGGGCCGCACCTGAAGATGGAGGCTTGAGCAGGTGTGAGTGAAGATGCTGCACCAAACTTTGGAAGACTTTTCAAAAGGAACTTACTTGGCTTCATCTTCAATTAAACTTGCCTTATAATGAGTCGCAGTGGAAAAAGAGCGACTATCACCACAAGTGCACCTCCTAACAGAGCGTGCGCTGTTAGCAGCCCGACTCTACTGACAATATTCCATGGAAAGATGTACAGACATGACCTCACAAATGTCTCATCACCATCAAGCAAAGAGAAATCTGCTACAAACTTCTACATCGCTGTTATCTGCTAAACAATCATCTTAGAAGGGCAATGGTCACAAACTGAACATTTTGAACTGAAAAATGAAACCACCTCTCACTTATTTTGGACCTGCCAAGACTCTGTGTGTTTTTGGAAAGAATTCATAAAACATATGGAGTGGAGGCTTAGCTGATAATATCCCCACCAAAGCTGAGACCAAACCTAAGCCCTTGATGTTTAAGAACTCTAAATGAAGTGTACATGTGATGACTGACCTGTAGGTGGCGGTACATACGCATTTGGAGTTGCTCGCCTCTGAAACAGTGACATGGGGAAAGTTGAACACATGAACACACGCTGCACCAACGCCAATGTGTTTTACACAATGAACATTTGACTTACTGTTGTGGGAAGACTTGGTGTCTCTGGAAAGTTACAAGAAATGACAGATAATTATTAATATACTGATCCAAAGAAAACAAAATGAAATCAAACAAAATAAAATATGTAAACTTACTTTCATCAGATTTGCCATTGGAACAAGCCTCTCCCAAAGAAGTGACTAGACCATCAGGTTTCATCTTCAAATATTCAACCAGCTAATGAGAATAAAATACAAAAAGATGGCTTAGAAAGTAAATAAGACTAAATATTTAAAACAGTTACGTCGTTTTTGAGGTCATCTAACTAAGAGAAATACAAATTTGCTAACTAACTTTAAAATGTATATGGTAAGAAACACAAAATAAAACATTTGATGATGCGCAACTTGAACTTTTCTAATAGATGGTCTGCTGCCTGCTTGTTGCTATGGAGATGTTTTTGGTTTGAGTGTCCCACAGTATGGCATTAAACATATATCTAGCATTTGTGTTTAAATTGGCGATATTACAGGGAGCGAGGTCGACCAATTTGGTCGCCACTCCACAGATCTGACCTGTAACTTGGCCTGCACGCCTCCATGGAGATACATTTAATGCCATATGTTGGAACCTTCCAGGCAAAGCAATTACATCTGTATGCCTGAGAACAAACACAGGTGCTGTACCATTGACCAGAAATGTTACGCAGTGCATCTTTAATAAAATATGACTTATAATATTCGTTCAAATGCCCCCTCCCCTCAGATTGATCCCAGCTGTTTTTAGAAATCCCTAAGCTTGAGTTAATAAAATATATTACATTTGGATATCACTGCCACATGCCACGTACTGTGTTAATACAATAGTCCAGATCCCAACAACTTGATTTATATAGCACAACACAACACAACATAACAACACAAAACTGCTTAAATAAAGACAAGAATCACATTTTAAAACATGTTTGTACAGATCTAAACTGCATGGCTTTTTAGCAGTCTTTTTTATGAAGAATAAGACAGGATGTTTTGTTGTTTGTGGAGGATATTATAGTGCTTTATTAATTCATTTTATTTGATTTTTTTTTTAACAATTTGCTATGGTTAATCTTGCAGCCCTAAAATATTACATAAACCATTGTTTCCTAAAGACTGGGTTGCGACCCTCAGGTAAATCGCAAGAGATTTTTTGGGGCCACCTTGTCATGATCTGCATGTAGGTCTGCAACATACGGTTCTGATCTGTGACTTTATCATCATTTCGGTTAAGCATTTGGTCAGAATCTCTATTTCTATGCTTATTCCTTTCACTATTGCATATACTGTTTGTGTGAAATGGAATTTTCTGTGCTCACCAAAATGAACATAAAGCACAGAAAAAGAGTGAATCCTGCATCTGATTCAATGTCCAAATAGGCGACTTATGGATCCTTTTATTGCTGCTTCAATGACTGTTTTTCATTGTTTACATTGTTTAAACTTGAGTAATACTAATTGTTCAGAGACACGATCACTCAGTCAACAATAAAATATCCTCATTAATGTTCAATAATGCTCAAATCCACCTTTATTTTGTGATTTATGAATAATGTTTATTGACAGGTCGCGAAGGTTTGTGACTTTTAAAATATGGGTCCCACGGAAAAAAAGTTTGGGAAACACTGTTATAAAATATAGCATAGAAGTAATAGTGAAATGAATACATATAGGCTCAATTGAGAAAGTTTTATAGTATCATAATATTACTACTACTATGCAAATACTAACCATGTGTTACAATAGTCAAAAAGGTAAACTAAAGACTTTTGTAATGTGTAGGCTAGGGTTGTCAGAAGTATTGAAAATCAGATACTAATTGATACTAAAATTAGTATGGAAACTAGATACTTGAACAAGAATTGATATTAAAAAAGTCACATTCACAGGACAGAAATGAGCTTGAGCTGTATCAGAACAAATATAAGTGCACACAGACTAGTATACTTCCATGGACTACTATGGAACCTACTTGGACCACTGAGGGATTACACACATATAATATAAAAGATAATATAAAAGAAAGTACCATTATTTAATGATTAAAATCACATTATATAAAGAAAGGTTGCTTTTAATTATCATTGTGGTATCGAAATGGTATTGAGTATCAAGTCTATTCCTCAGTATCAAAATCAAGCTGTTTCTCGTACCTGCCAGATGGTGTCAAACTTGGTTCCCTCTGGCATTGAGTACTTCCCAGATTTATCCTCCAGTATCTGATAGTGGTACACAGTTTTTCCATACATCATCGAAAGTGCAAATGTCCCGGCCGTTTCCCTGTCTCTTATCCTGAGAAAAACAACAACATTGAGTGCGTATACATGCACATCAGTATCCCGGTTATTATCCGTATGCCGGTTATGTCAGTATTCGGGTTAGTGTGTATACATGCGCACTGAGAAACCGGGATACTCAAAAAACCCGATCATAACGGGGTTATTGATGTGCATGTATACGCACTCATTATATTAGTTTTAAAGGTTACATATTATGTTTTTTCCTTATCAAAAACATAACAGAAGAGGCTTTATATGTCATCCATGCATGTTTGAGTAATATTGTGATCTCTCCCAGGCCCTCCTTATGGTTATAAGAGCTGTAAGATTCTGTCCAATGCTCAGCCTACAAGTCCCCATAGTCCCCACGCTCTCACAGCAATTCCCCATAAATATACAATATAAAATACTACAGCTTCTCAAACCTAATGTGATGTGCAGTAGTTTCTTTAGTGGAATGCACACTGCTTTTGTTGTGAAAGTGCTCTGAAGGGGGAGTGGCTTAGCACAGGGTGCAAGGGCAGCAAGGACTCAGCGTGTCATAATGAAACTGAAGCTAATTACCAGAAGTGGGACCAAGTTGTTGTTTTGCAAGTCTCAAGTAAGTCTCAAGTCTTTGACTTCAAGTCCAAGTCAAGTCCCAAGTTAAATACAAGCAAGCCCGAGTCGAGTCTCGAGTCACTGGCCCATAAGTCCAAGTCAAGTCCAAGTCATCTGCTTTGAACTTCAAGTCATTTCAAGTCTTTAAACCAAAGTACATTAAATATAGTAATATAATATAGTAAATATAGTAATAGTAAATATAGCTTAGATTTTTTTCAATTTATATAACTTTTAATATAAATTGTACTTACAAAATCATAGTATATTTATATAAGAGTATTTATAGAGTATGTAAGAGTTGTAGAAATTTAAATTTTTCCTTTTTAAATGTCTTGACAAGATTTTACAGTGAATCATTTCGGTCAGAATAGAACAAATTCAAATTTAAAAGTGCTTCTCAAGTCTTCTCAAGTCACAGGCCTCAAGTCTGAGTCAAGTCCTAAGTCTTATTCCATTTTATCAAGTCAAGTCTCAAGTCCTAAAAATAGTGACTCAAGTCTGACTGGAGTCCAAGTCACGACTTGCAAGTCCTAACCTCTGCTAATTACACATTTGAATACATTTTTGGTGACTATAGAATTTCCAAAACAGTAAAAGGTAACATGTGAATACCCCATTGATATGTATATGTATGTTGTATATGTATGTTGCAGGTCATTTTTAAGAACCTGACAAAAGCCTAATACATCCAAAAACAGTCTGTATTAAAGATGTATTTGTCATGTTACTCACAGAAACTTCCCATCTGGCTGTGCTCCGGAGTACAGCCTCCTCTCCCCCTCCTGTCTGGAGATCTTCCCGTGGTACCAGGACATCCTCTCGTGGGCTGTGGTGGCGATCAGTCTCTCCAGGTTTGGGGCCTGACTGATAACTGCCTGCTCCATCTCCTCACCCTCATGCACAACACAAACACGGTATGAACATTATGTGAAAATTATGTGTTTTGTTTACTTTTGTGTTGTTGTTTTTGTTTAATTCTATTCAATTTATTTTTGTACACCTCACAGGCCTTAATAAAATTGCTGATTTAACCAACAGTAATTTAAACAACATTGTAGAATATAGTTATAGTTTAAATTGAGTTACAGGACGACTGAGAATTCTATGTTTGCAGATTTGTTGACCTGGTTTATGGTTCATATCTAAGTTATAAAATTCATTGTCTTGTCAGTATAAATAAGAAAATGTGAAATTACTTTTTCACAGTAACTCATCTGCAAGAATGATGTCATCAAATTCTAGAATGTGACCGCAGATTATTAGCTCAAGGTTTTTTTTTTTTTCTTTTTTTATGTGTGTACAAAGGAATTTAACCCGTTCCTGACTTGAGTTGACCTGAAATTCAAATTGACTCAAGTCTGTGGTTATGGTGGAATTATTTGCTTAATCTGAAGAAAAGTGAAATCAGATTCTTTACATACCAAACTGCAGAACTAATGTTAAATACTTCATATATACTATTATATACTGCTGTTCAAGTAAATGTTCATTTTTATCTAGCACAGAGGTCACCAAACTGTTTTCTCTTGGTGCCACATTATCGCTCCTGACTGTGACAGGGAGCTGGGCTCGGGTCGGCCGTATAACAGAATTGTTTGGCCCTGACAACGCAGATTAAATTCTTTGAAAACCGCCACACTTTCTTTACATATTGCCAAAAATTTCACGGTATTTACACTGCACAAAAATAATCGGTCATTCACTGTTCTTTGAAAACTCTGCACTAAGTTTTTGTGCTTTAACACTCGTCATTTTTCTGTCTTTAACTGCACTACAGAACTGTGTGCGTGTGTTGACTGTCACTGTTCATGGTGATGAAAATTCAGCGACAAATGTAAATACATCATATAATAATTTAAATATAAATATAAATACTTCTTATAAATATCATTTTTTATTGAAAAAAATCTGCAAAAACAAGATGCAGATGTGTTATTATTTGCCAAAAAGTAATCTGAAAAAAAAAAAAAAAAAGGCCATGACAACTTTTGAGGGTTGCCTCATAGGGCCAGTTCAAGTGGTTTGAGCAGAGGGGCTGGGGGGGGCAATAATCATCTGTGGGAGCTGGAATCGCACCACGAACCTGCGGATCAGTGGATCTGACTGCTCGACTAATGACGTTTATGCTTAGAGTAGGATTTAAACCTCAAACCTCTTCGAATTATTGGACAAACACCCTACTAACTGATCCACTGCATATGCTTTAAATGAATTACTACTCTCTTTTTTTTTTTTACAATTTTAAGTCAGTGAAAATCAGGTTCCTTTAAAGCTGCACTATGTAACTTTATGCAGTGAAGTTACCTCCAGGTTCCAGGTCTGCCTCACGTACTCCCGGAGCATGTTGTCACGGAGACTGTCGAACACGCCCAGTTTGATGTTGGTCTCGGGGGGGCGGAGGCAGGGCTTCTTCAGAGTACACACCAGTCCATCCGGGTCTTTACTGTAATACTCACACAGCTCTGCAGGACCACAGTGGGCCTTACCTACGGGCCATAGGTCAAAGAAATAACACCACTGTGATTATTTAGGACTTTGCAGCTACAGTTATCAACATTCTCTGGGGGTGTGATGCTAACTGTTGCACTGCTCTGTCTGAAGCTCTGTTCCTTTAGTTAGACATTAATTTAGGCTTTATTTGAACATAACCTGACCATAAAGAACTGACTTAGCTGAAACTCCAGGTGAGCTGATATGTGCTGTTTAAACTCTCTTTAGTCTCTCTTCCAAATAATACTACAACAACAGTTTTTCAGTTAGTCTCTCACTGTTTGTTGCAAATCAAACACCTCAACAAGACCATGAACGCTCGTATTCATCACAGGCTGCTGAAAATGTTTTTTTAAATTTATTTTGTATTTTTGAGTTTTAACACTTAAATCTTATAACTCTGTGTATTGTATCACCATGGTAACTGCTGAACTTTCAACCATAGAAATCTGGGATATAAATTTGTAAACATATAGTAACCTTTTAGTTTATTCATTGCTTTTCTTTTTCTTTCTCAGTCCCCCGACCCCCACTTTATGTCTTAGTTACAGAATATTGAATACCTGCATTAAAATTGATTTTGTAACATGTTCTGTTACGTGAATCAGAGTATTGCAATACTTGGACTTCGAGTTACATTTAAACTGTGGTATAAAGATATAGGATTTTTAAAAAAAGCTTCATGGTTCACCATTTTTAAAGCATTTCCTATCACACACAGGAGATGACAAACTCACACCTGCTTCACCACAAGAGCAGTGGTTTCTATTTTTCTCATTGATTCTGTGCAGTTTGAAGCCTCAATGACATGACCAAATATCATATAATATATTTCTTTGATTTGAGAAAAGTAACTGTATTCTGAATAAAACCAAATCACCAAGAGTATCTGTACCAGAATACAGTTACTCAAAATTCAGAATACATATTCTCAGTACATGAATTCAGTTACTTCCCAACACTGCATATCCAATCCACTTTAATCATATAACACATTTCCAAAGTGCTGAACGATACAGATACAAGGGATATACCTGCGTTAAAACCTAAATCAGTGTTTTCATTCGATTTACAAAATGCATTGGAATATTACGCCCACGATGCTCTTAAAGCGGACCGGTTATGCAAATGAACTTTTCAGACTTTTTAACCAAGTTTGTTTCCCCGTCTCATTTACCTTCTCAAAGTTGAATTTGGAGTGATTCATGCACGCTTGAAAAATTTTCATGCTCCGAACTACCCCCGTTTTCACCGTCTCCGGCAAACACCCACTGCTCTGTGATACTGCCTTAAAACTACCTTCTGTACTTCTATTTGATTTTCTTAACAGTAGATAGCAAATCTGAAACCTTAAAGAACACATCTGCAGAAGCCTGGAATCAATACAAGCGGCCTTTTAGTTGTTTAGTTGTTCAACTATCAACAAATGTGAAAGTGACAAACTGGAAAACAGTTGACGCCTGTATTATTGTATATGTTCTTTAAGTTGGACGTGAAGACAAATCAGCCCACTTGTTGCAGTTCCAAATAAGGCAGTCTTTATTACCAGAACTGACTTAGCTGAACCCCCTCCTACTGGGGATAGGTGATGACACCAGCTGCAAGTGTCAATAGGAGGTGTGGGTGGGGAAGGAAGAAGGAAAAAAATTGTAAAAAAAATATATATATGACCTTTTTACAAAAATATAAAATTGTCACCGTTATCAAATAATAACATGATTTATTTTCCCTATCTCAACCTCACCTCCCACTATGCAGTAGGTGCCGTTGAGCTGTTTCTCGATAGGGTAATGGTGGAAGTTCAGGTTCCACACCAGAGACAGGACGTAGCCCCCCAGACTGCGTAGACACTGACGGAGGAGGAACAGCCCGTCGTTCATCCCCGCTAACTTGAGGTACTGCTCTGCATCAAAGCGACTGATGCTGCCGTAGAAGAAAGGGAGCTCTGCCGCCGGGTCGATAGACATGATGCCAGCGAAGGGGATCAGAACTAGTCTAGAAACACAAAAGAATTACATTTGTTGAATTTCCAGCAGTATATTTTTATTCCTACTTGAGTCAAATTTAAATTGAGTAACTGTGCTCTTGTTTAAGTGAAGGTTTCGGTTACTGTGAGTGATTAAAGCTTGTTTAGTTTTTCTCATTTTACATTTAAAAGGACCAGATTTTACTTCACATCCATAAACTATAAATCAGATGTTGCACTTTAAGTTACTCGACATTAGTAGTAGAGTTTTTCATTGATAATAATAAATAAAAAACATGTCATTTTCTCAGGGTCGGCAAAATTGTTTTCAACAATATTAATTAGTCCAGGGGTGTCCAACATATGGCCCAGGAGCCAGATCCAGCCCTCCAAGACCTTTAATCTGGCCTTCGGCTGATTTTCTACTAAAATATTTCAAATATATTTTAAAACCTGAAGATAGAATTTGCAATTTTTCGCACACAATTCACAGTCAAAACCTCTGATGTGCCCGCAGACATGCAACTAGAAATATCGAATTTTCTGGGCTATTAGGCACGCTCTTAAGCTTCTAACCCCATCAAAAAACGACTGCACGCCCCGCAATCCAGAGCGTCCTATACATGAATCCACTCGAGTGTCCCAGCACGACTTCAGTAAACTACAAAGCCGCACCACCCGCAGAACACGCAAACACACACGGAGCAGACAGCGACTGCGCAGCGAAACACACCCGCAGCCACACTCATCACTCCACACGAACGAGGAATGGAACGGAGGAATGAACCAAAAAAGCGAGTGAAATGTGCTACTCTGAGTCACAACTGAACAACTGAGTCACTGCGAACACGCCAACAATCCAGTGGTCCCAGACAGCACCCTCCCTACACGCCACAACTGAACAAAGCCCAGAGTCACCGTGAACGGGTCAAACAAAGTCCCATTGACCCATCCAACTATTGTGTTTCATTTAAAGTCCGAAAGTTCGAAAATAGACCATTCAGTGACAGTGCGCCTTATAATCCAGAGCGCCTAATAGCCCGTAAAATACAGTAAAAGGTTTACAGTTACTACCTTTCTGAGCAGGTTTTCTCAGTAATGAACATTAATAAAACAAAGCTGTGCTCAAAGCTGAACACAACACACAAGCACTTGAATGACATTCTGAAGACAGCAGCTGCTCAGGACATGGTGTCTGATATTGATGCACTTGTGCAGGCTAAAAGATGCCAAGTTTGAGGAGCAAAAAGAAAGCATGACTAAATTCTATGAAATGTATACAAGTTAATGTTAAAACATTGTGTTGAAATTGCATTTTTTCAAGTTTCACGTTGTTCATAATATTATAATATTTTGTAAAAGAGTTCCTCAATTAAAAAAGATTTCTGTAATAGATTTGCATTTCTCTTTACAAATATTTGAACTTATTGTTATTTTTGGGGTATATATGCCGTTAGTTTTCTGATCCGACCCCTTTGGGATCAAAGTAGGTTGGATATGGCCCCCGGATGAGTTTGACACCCCTGAACTAGTCCATCACAAATAATTAGAATATCATGAAAAAGTTTAATATTTTTTATCTCTCATTTCAGAAAAACAAATCCAGATATTATACAGACTCATAACACAGAGTGAAATATTTTAAATACCATTGAATTTCTCACTTTGAATTTTTTTAATCTGAAAAAAGAATTGAATAATTTTTATTCAGAATTTTAGTTGCTGAAATTTTAAGTATACTTTTTCAATATATTTAAAATTCAAAATAAAATTTCACCTTTTAAATATTCAGCACAGATATTTTCAAGTGTGTACAATTCGCAGTAAAAACTTTCACAACAAAGATCCAAGATACCAAGGCAGAAGCAATCGATCATTAGAGAGTGAGGAGGAAGAAGGTTATTTCCTATAGGTCGTTTTCATCTGTGGGTGGGGCTTACAATTAAGAAATAAAAGAGATGAGGTTTTGATGAGGCTGATTCTAGCCAATCAGATCGCTTCACTACACCATTTCCCATTGTTACTAAGGTCGATCGGATCACTTTGGATCGATTGCTTCGACCTTGGCATCTTGGATCTTTCCTGCAAATTTTTTTCACTGTGAATTTTACTCTCTAAAGTTCAAAATAAAAAAATCACCTTTTAAATATTCAGCACAAATATATTCCAGCCCTCATAGTCAACAGTCAAAAATCAAACATTTTGAAAATTTACACTAAAATTCTGAATAAAAATAAGTCAAACAAGCTTTTTCAGAGTTAAAACATTCAAAAGGAGAAATTCAACGGTATTTCAAATTCAAAATCTGTTGAAACAAATTCTGTGTCTCAGAAGATTATAATGTTGAGAAAAAGCTGAATATTGGGTCATGGATTCACACCTGAATCAGTGAATGCAATGAAAACATGTGCAGAGGTTTCCTGAGACTTTAAATGGTCTCTCAGTCTGGGTCAGTGGGCTACACAATCATGGGAAAGGCTACTGACTGCACAGATGTCAGACAATCACTGACCACCACAAGGAGGGTAAACCACAAAAGGTCAGTGTTAATAAAGCGGGTTGTTCATATGCTTGAATATGTAAGCATATTCATAAAACATGAGTGAAGAAAAAAAAGATGCAGCAGTAAAAGGGATGACTGCAGCCTTGAGAGGATTGTCAAGAAAAATCCACTCAAGAATTTGGGGGAGAGGACTGAGCCACTACACACAGAGCTTATATGAGACATGAGGCAATGTCAGTGATCATTTGGGCTGCCATGCCATCTACTGCATCCTGATTCATCAACCGGTTTCACATTGTGGAAACCGTCTGACCTCGCAGCATTAAAATTTGTTCAATAGACTGTAGGCGGATACTTTTTTAAATTTAACCAATTGCTGCTATTTGGTCATGACGTATGTAATGCGCCACTAACAGGGCTAACTGGTATATTAAGCTTTTCCCAAATCCCGTAGGAAGAAGAGCAATAACGTCTTTCCACTTGATGAAATTCACCAAACATTCTCTTTGTTCTGGCTTTAAATCCTCATCATTGCCAACACAATGCATGGCTCTTCACTGATTGGTCGGCGCGCTGTCTTCAACTTCTGGGGTTCTTGCAAACCGTCTAGTGTATTCTGATTCCTGACCTAGTCGCTGGAGAGAAATGAAATTGAGTGGAGGCACTAAGTGATGGCAGCCTGGTTGATCTGCTGGTGTTGGTCCACTGTGTTTTCTGAAGTCAGCGCAGCCATCTACCAGGACATTTAGAACACTTCACACTTCCTTCTGTGGACAAGCTTTACGGAGGTGCTGATTTCATTTTCCAGCAGGACTTGGCACCTGCCCACACAGCCAATATTTTTCAATGACCATTGTGTTACTGTGCTTGATTATCCTGCAAACCCACTGACCTGAACCTGAACTTGACCCGAACCCCATCGAGAATCTCTGAGATGTTGTCAAGAGGAAGATGAGAGACACCAGACCCAGAAATACTCAATAATGACCTGAAGACCGCTCTCAAATGCAACCTGGGCTTCCTTTAGACCTGAGCAGTACCACAGGGTGATCTGCTCCATGACACGACACATTAATGCTGTAAAAATACCAATGAAGATTTAACCAAGTAGAATAGAATGAACATATTTTTCAGAAGCCTGACATTTCTGTTTTAAATATCATTTTTTTAATAGACTTATGTAATATTCAAGTTTTCTGAGACATAGAATTTTTTTGTTCTCTGTAAGCCATAATCATAAACTATTTCACTCTATGTGCCATGAATCTATATAATATTTGGGTTTGACTTTCTGAAATGAAAAAATACTGAACTTTTTCCATGATATTCTAATTATTTCTGATGGACTTGTGTAAATAAAAAATGCAAGGACAATGAATACAGCAGAATACAAACAAACACATGAAAGACTATAGACCAGAGGTGTCCAAACTTTTTTCATGAAGGGTCACATAACTAAACACAGAGGAAGCAGAGGGCTGGCTGAGGGCTGTAGACTGGTGCTCAAGACAGTGAATAATAGAAATATATGCATGTTTAACACGTTAGAATGAGCCATCAGTCTTTATTCATGCCAAGATCCTTAAAACCACACACTAAATATTAAATATTAGCTTTATCAAAGTAGATTTTCAAAAAACTTGCAGCAAGAAGTTCATTTCTAATTGATGCCATATAATTTGGGCCAATTCACCTGGAAGCCTGAGGACCAAGGACAATTTGTCTGAGGGCTGCATTTGGTCCACGGGCCATATTTTGGACAAGCCTGCTATAGACTAACCCAATTAAGATTTTAAAGGCGTTTTTAAAATTTAATCTGAGATAAAACATGTAAACATACAGTCACCTATTTATTAGCTGAATTGCTTTTCTATTTCCATTAACACACACACACACAAAATGTACGCCAAAAACATAAGGCCTGATAACACAGAAGAGCTACTTGCACCAATATACTGTCCATGTCTACAAAAGCATTCATTAAAGTGATATTTTCACCTCACATACAGCCCTGCCTGGCCCGTAACTCATTTTAAAGTACTAAATATTGCTGAAGAAACTATCGACATACACAGTAATCTTGAACGTAGTAACGCCACTGACACCTCTAATAATATAAAAACAATTGTACAGTATTTTTGAAGAACGTGAGCTGCGAGAAAGAAATTTAACAACTCTTCAGCTTTACAGAAAAATAACAAAAGGTTAAAAAGAAAAAGAACAGTACAAAGAAAAAGTAGCATGATGAAAATTGACTCTGAAAGTTATTGTTCCAGCTATAATGTACGGAATGAACAGGCGATGTAGTAATTATTCGAACAGGCCTGCTCACATAAAACAAATAATAAAACAACTGAAATTAATTGTTACTGAAATAGCTTGGAACTTTATGGGACTGGGCCTTCGCCATTGCTACGTCAACCCTCTGAAATCCTCTCCTCCTTCAAATCAGAAACTCAGATTCACTACAATCTTTCAAAAACTTGTTAAAAACTAAAAAGTCACTCACTCATATACAATTTCCTATAATGATCCTGTTATTTTAAGTTTGTTTTGCAGTCGTCTAGTGTCTTTTTCTTGCCTATGTGAAGCTTCTTTGATTTCCTTTTCGAAAAGCGCTATAAAAACGTACGTATTATTATTACTGACGTGTGCAAATATCACTAGAGGAAAGAAAATCGTTTAAAACTACAAGTGACTATCATGTCTAAACGGTCCCACCTGTTTTTCAGATGAGCAGAGCCGGAGCAGACGACATCACCGTGGGCCCCACACTTTGAGTTTGTGTTAAAAGTCTGAAAGTTTTGCAAAAGAAACAGAGACAAAGCCACAACAGGAAGCTGCAGTCCGCCCTCACAGCTTCTTCTCCACGGCTCCTCTGAGCAGCAGGTGCACGGTTCCAGATCTTTCTTTGTACTTCAATACTCAACAGTAACTACATACTTTAAATCAATATTAGTAGAAAGTTATAAATTAAATCTGCACAACGAGGGAGGAGAGAGAAGTTTATTTGTGTGTGTGTTTAATTGAATTGTTTTACTTTTTATAAGATTGTTGCCACTAGATTTGTGATGTGATAACTTAAAGGTCCAGTGTGTAACTTTCTTCATATTGTGGAATATTGTAAAAAAAAAAAAAAAGACACAATAATTCATGAGAAACAAGAATTAAGAGGCCCTTCTCCGGGTCAAATAAGAATCAGATTTGTGGAGATGTTCACATTAAGGACACATGTTTTTTGAGGTTTTTCCGTGCAATAAACGCTTCCAAAATAATAATAATAATAATAAATACATTTTAAAAAACACTTAAGTCTGTTTTAAAGCTTACACAATGTGGCTTTATTGGTTCTGTATCAATATTCAAACACTAAAATGAAAACTAAATCAAATGAAACAAAGAAACTATAATTCCATATGGTGTGAAGTACAAAAGTATACACATAAATGCAAAACTCTTCTTCGGCCTGTGGTATTCAGAGTACGGGGATGTTGGTTAGTACATGTAAATGCAAGAAACATACAGAAAGAGAGTGAAGGTGGAAACTGTGTGATCAGATAAAGTCGCTGAATATGTATGACACTGTTTTGGAAAGTTGTCAGTTAATCCAACTCATATTGTTTTGTTTTTATTTTTAGGAAGAGCTTTACTGCTGCATGTGTAATTAAAGGTGCACTATGTAACTTTTCTGGAGGGGGAGGGTCCACCATCTCTCCATAGAGATGGGATGTTCCACAGTGTGTCGTTAAACAAATCTATCTTGCATTTGCAATTCTTTTTAATGCTGAAAAATAACTTGAAACACATGCATTCTTACTGTGAGTGGGATCACCTTCCACAGATCTGACTTGTAACTTGGAGTGCTGTCATGTGCTTGAAGATAGACTTTAAAGGTCCTACATTTACATTACATAAAATTTATAAAAGTTAGTCTAGTCAAATGTCTACAAATTTATAAAAGTCTAGACAACTTAGTCTGTCTACATCTCCTAACCTCAAAATTCTCCACCTACACTACACTATACTATACCTAATACTACACCTTGTGATGTCATGAAGTGGTAGTTTCAAGTTAACAGCTACTCCCTTTTACAAGAACAGTCTGAACCAGAGAGTAAAAGTGTGCAGCAAAATCAGTGATGTTCAGATGGAGGATTTAGCCTCTGTGCTGAGACATTGGGTGCTCCAAAAGTCTAAGGTCCTACTGAGCCAGCCTTACCATGTACTGCACTTACAGTTTGTGCAAATGCTCTCTGGGAGACGATATGTCACCCCACAGCAAAAGACCAATCGCTACGCTAAACCTTTTATTACCTGGTCCCCGAAGAGTTGACCAGGTTTTGTACTCACCCTGTGTGCCTTTGTGTGTGTCTGTGTGTCTGTCCACCCATGATAATTCCACCATTTATGGACCGATTGTCACCAAATTTGGTATGTGGGTCAAGCTCCTGTGCCTGATGCCGCAAAAACAGTTTGGTGATGATCTGAGGTCATTTGAGGTCACACAGGTCAATTGAAAAGTCACGCCATTATAAAGGATTGGGCAATTTCGGCAATTTCTGAACCATCTGTGGGCTAAAATATTCACCCAATCGTCACACAAGTTGATACACACATAAAAGGGGTACACTGGATGTTACAGGTTGAAACCGGTCAAGGTCATTTGAAGGTCAAGGTATCCAAGGTCAAAGATGCAGTTTTGGTCATAACTCCATGAAGGATGGAGCTCGAGCAACGGGAGTGTCTCAAAATCTCAGAAAAATTATTATCTATTTATAATTCTATGCATTTGTACAGTCAAATATGAATAGTTTTCCAGATAATCACTAATTATAACAGTCCCTTTCTCTGTCAGTGTATGCTGTTAAAATTCTAATTGGAATGAAAACATTTTTCCTTTTTTCTTTTTCTGGTGATACACAACACACTGATCTACAGTCACACAACTAACACATACACAACTCATGAAAAATGACATTTTCATTACACACAAGTAAACACAGACATTCTCATGTGTGACCAGTATCACACAAATGTTCATGGGCCTGTACAGATACACATATTGTATTGTGGATATAATGATCATGTAATATGGGCTGGACTCCTCATAAACTGCTTCTGTGGTGATGAACTGCCACTGATGCCTCATGGGAGACCAGGTTGATATCTCTGATTGCGCTTGTTCCTTCTGCCATAAAGCTATTAAATGGAAAGTAAATTTGCTATTGTGTCCCTGATGCACTGAGGTTTGAATGTGCGGCGTGTGTTGTATGTTTGTTTTTCTTTTCATTTTATTATTTATAGATTGTGCACTACCAGAGATGTGTGGACTGAATTGCCTTTTGGGATTAATAAAGTTGTTGATTGATTGATTTTTGTTCAGTACATATTGTCACTTCCAGGCCTGAAATCATCCAGTGTTTGTAAAATGTATGGAGCTTAAAAACACGGTTGAGCACTTCCTGTCTTACTACATGGCATCAAAAAGTGGAGTGTATTTTGTCTGAGAGAAGAACGCAGCCTAGATACGCAGGGTTTGTGTGATGTTTGTGATGAGAAAACAACATTAGAACATAGATCAGAGCAGAATATTGGCAGAAAAAGTTGTGGCAAAGCAATAACATCTCCATAGAGACAAATAAAATAACATAAAAAAATAAAAAATCTGCTTTCATCATGTTAAAATAAAAAATACTGTGAGATTATGTAATACTATGATGTAATTTCAGGTTAAAACAGGTTTAAGGTTACACAACTGATTTTATAAAAAAAAAATAAATATTTTCACATTTCTCAGCAGGACGCCCCAGGAAAGACTGAGTTGAGGGAGACCGTGCGTAACCACAGCCTCCTGGTTTGACTTGTGCCTTGACCACATCCACAGTGGACAAAAAGAGCAACACCCAGACTGACCACAAGACTGCGCTGTGGTCTGAGCCCGGGGCGCCACATCAAACACACATGTGCTGCAGGTACAAAGGTGAGGGACTCAAGCGCACAGGTTCGACAAAACTAAGTGTGTCATGCGGTCAATACACAAAACGGAACAATCATGACTGTGGTTTGTTGAGTGAAATTTAAAGGTGCGTTGTTAAAGGTGCGTTGTAGGGATGTAACGATATCCAAATCTCACAATACGATATTTTCATGATATATATCTCACGGTTCAATATTTATTGCAATACTTTGTGGAGGCTAACAAATCTTTCAACTTAAAATGCCTTGACAAGACTTAATTCAAAGGTCTAAGACATAAAAGTGCTTAGAACTGTTATTTCTTCTTGTAGCCAACACTGAAATGGAGCAAAGGATCATGATCGGTGTAGTTCCCTCTGTTTTTTTTAGCTATTGCTGCACCAAAACAGTGAATTTAAGCGAAGAAACTTGTAATTCGATATATTGTGATGGTCCACATTATTATTGAGAGACTTTTGATGATACGATATCATGATATTTTGGTTATTGTTACACCCCTAGTGCATTGTGTAAGTTTTCTTTGAAGAGTCCTGCAAATGCTTTTCTCCATGGAGATGCCATGTATGGAATGTTTCATAGAGTGGAATTAAACCTTATCTTCATGGAGACCAAACCAGACCAAGTTACAGGTCAGATCTGTGGAGAGGCGACCCCTTTCACAGTCAGAATGTCTGTTTTTCTAGTATTTTTGAGCTATAAAACCACCTGTAATTGAATAAATGTAAAGTAGAGCTGTTGAATGTCATACTGTGGAACATTCCAGGCAGAGCAATGACAAATTAACAGAAACAAGCAAGTGACGGACCCCCAATCAAAAAGTTACATTGTGCAGCTTTAGGGTAGCCAGACTTGCACCACCTAGTGCCTCCACTCAATTTCATTTCTCTCCAGCGACTAGGTCAGGAATACACTAGACCGAGCACTGGCCAATCAGTGAAGAGCTGTAAAGCCATGGCGTCAAACTCAAACACCTGTCTGGGTGCCTTTTGTGGAACAAACAACAGTAAACAAAGCGGTCGAGATGGCTGTAGATAAAGCCAGACATTCTGTGTTGGCAACGATTCCCGAGATCAAGGATTTAAAGCCGGAACAAAGAGAATGTTTAATCAATTTATAGGGGAAAATGTTATTGCCCTTCTTCCTATGGGATTTGGCATACTGCATATGTCACCACCAAATAGCAGCGAACGAATCCAAACTTTATTTATTAAGCACATGTCATACCAAAATACAACCCAGTCACCCAACCCACACAAACAAAAACAAACCAGACAGACTCTTGCACTCTGACTAACATGCAGACACACACACACTCGCCCTCTAAAATACTCATGGCTAGGTACAGATAAATGAGGATGAGTACAAACAAATCAATTGAGGAAGAATCATGAGAGGAGCCATCTGTGTCAGGAGCAGAGGGGCGCCGCCAGCCCCTAGGACACGACACCGAGCCCAGGGAGAGATGAGGCCTAAACTCCAACCCTCTGCTAATAGTACTTTCACACCCTTTTACACACACCATATCATGACTAAATGCAGTACACCACAGTATTGCTTCCTGTCTCTAACAAATGTCTATTTAGTTTGGTCTTGGTATGGTCCTTGTTCACTCCTTCTCTCATCTACATTTGTTTAGTCTCCCAAATCACAATGTTCCGTAATATCTTTATAAATCTGTGCCTTTTTAATGAGAACACACGAAACAGAAGAGGCCACATGCCAACTTTACATGTGCAGAGAAACCATGGCATCTTAACCTGAGAAAACAAGTCTATATGAGTCAGAGTGGAGGAGGAGAACTCTCACCCAAAGGTGCAGGCGTCAAGTGCTTTTATATTTACCACCTACATTTATAACAGGTTTGATTTCACAACTACAAGTATGTTTTTGTTAATAGGTCAATA